AAACGCCATCAGGACTGTGAGGCTAAGAAATATAGAGGTAGATGTTTTTTGACAAAAGGAGAAGAGTGATTGATTTTGTAGCCCAGGAGCGGAGGTCCCTGGGAGCATCAAGTAGAGCAGGACCCTACCCAGAGAAGCGGTGACACCAGGGATGGAGACAGAGACAATGATGTGGACAGATGGAGCAGCTGGGGACACAGGACTCAGGGTGGGAGAAGGGCTGTGTGCTGGAGGCCAGGGGGTGGGGTGGGGTGTTGGGCCTGTGTCGTTATTTGATGCATGGAGGGGACTGAAACCATTGCTTTGAAAGGAAATATGATAGGATGAATGTAAAAAAAGAATGCTCCCCCCACTTAGTAGATGGTGTGACTCAAATCACTACCCTTAGTTTCCTGTGGGGGCATTGTCTGTCTTCAATTTACAAGACTGCTTTGGAAAAGCTTGCTTGCATGCCCTGGATCTTGCATCTGGTTCATGACGTCTGACATCCAGTTGGTGGGACTTTCGACCCATCATCTGACCTGATTCACAAGTTTTTGCAGTCTCATGCATCAAAAGCCTGTCATCTGACCTACAGATCTGGATTCCACAGCTCCTGAGACTACGTAGGTGAGAAGATTCCTTCAGACTGATCTCTGAACTACGAATCTGTGACTTGTCAGCCTCCACAATTCCATGAGCCATATCTTTTGACAACTGTGAATTTTGTGGAATGTTGCAGTGGGTTGCAGAACCCTGGGACTTGAGGGAAGGGAGGAGTGGTGATTGATTTCAAGGATTACGAAGGAATATAATATGTTGGAGAAGTCACACAGTTGCACTATCTTTAACTTCCAGCTCATGGGGATCAACCTTACGTTGATTTTTATAAAAGAAATTATTCATGCAAATCCCAATCATAACCCTAACACTAAACAAAGTCCTAGACCTAGCCACAGTCCTAATCCTAACTCCTTATTCCTACCCACCCTTAACCCCTTAAAACAAAAAGGTTAAACAGAACTACTATATGACCCACCAATCCCAATCCTAGATCTATATCCAAAGAAATGCAAAACAGGAACCCAGACACTTGTATACCAATGTTCACTACAGTAAAATTCATAACAGCCTAAGGGTGGAAACAACCTAAATGCCAGTCAACAGAGGAATGGATACACAAAAAGATACAAATGGATACATACTCAGCTATAAAAATAAATGAAGTCCATGTGCATACTATGACATTGATATAACTCTTTTACAAACATCATTCTGAGTGAAATAAGTCAGACACACAAGCACAAGTATTGTATGATGCCAGCTATATGAAATATCTAGAATAGGCAAATGTACATTTCACCTATTGGTGAAAGTAGGCTAGTGGTTACCAAAGGACAATGGGAAGGGACAAGTGGGGACACTGAGCTTCGGTTGAAGGTGATGGAAAAACTGGAAATGGGTAGAGGTGGTGGTTGCACAACATGATGGATGCAATTAATGTCACTGAATTATAAGTTTTATTACATAGATACCTGATTTTCAAAAAACTAGGTTCCCAACATATTGAGGACAAAGGTCTTGATGGTGAACTATACCATCATATTTATTGCTTACTAACTTCAAAGTCACTACTCTTAGACAGGATTGATAGACAAAAGTTTTAAGACGATGATGAAGTAATCGGGCGCTAGAAGACCAGAAAAGAATTGATGCCTTTGAGTTATGGTGTTGGAAGAGAATATTGAAAGTGCCATGGCTGCCAAAAGAACTAACAGATCCATTTTGGAAGAAGTGCAGCCAGAATGCTCCTTGGAGGCCAAGATGGCCAAACTTCATCTCTCATACTTCGGACATGTTGTTAGGAGGGACCAGTTGCTGGAGAAGGATATCATGTTTGGTAAGTGGAGGGTCAGAGAAAAAGAGGATGACCCCCACCACCCCAACAAGAAGGATTGGCCAAGTGGCAGCATTGATGGACTCAAGCATGGCAACAGGATCAGGTAGTGTTTCGTTCTACTGTGCATAAGGTCGCTATACGTCAGTACTGACTCCATGGCACCTAACAACAAAAACAAAGGTGCCAACATTAATGAGATCTGCTAGATGTTGGGGGCCCAGATCAAAATTGCCAACCCAGTGGAAGGTTCTTCTGACAAGCAGGTTACTATCACTGGTTCAGCTGCCAGGATTAGTCTGGCCCAGTATCTAATCACTGCCAGGCTTTCCTCTGAGTAGGGCAAGGGGTGCAGCTATACAGTGTAGGTTCGCTCATAACCCCTTTCTGTTTTCCCATGATCCTACTGTATAATTTCTGGTCAGTGATTCCAGGTTCTAAACCATTTGTTAAGTGTTCATTTTCTACACAACTTTACCATCCGCTAAGAATCTAAAAACCACATTTGTCTGTTCAGCTGTTAATGCTAGGATCCATATTTAGTTTTATAAGATTTTTCCCTGTTTTCAGTTTTGTTTGGGTTTTTTGATTCATGAATTTTATTTCTGTTTGCCAATAAGAAATGTTTAAGAGTGGAATTTTAATAAAATTTCAGTTTAATTATGTAATGTCAAATATTTAAGAATTTAAAAAATGGACTGGTTGTTAAAATTTTTTTAAAAAAAGAAATGATGAATAAAATAAGCAAGTTCAAAAATAATTTAGGACTCGATTATCAAAGTTACTTGAGAGTGATACCAACAGTCTATTTTCAAGCTAGTTGTATGTGAAGTCAAAGATAAAACTTAGAAAACTGAGGAGTTTTTTGTCATTGTTGTTGCAGTTTTATTTAGAGATAAATTATTCAAAATGGAGAATACATGTGAAAGGAATAGACATTTTTCATAACTAGTTTATCTCCAAGCTTAATTGTAAAACTTTAAGATCAGTCACATATGTAGAGAGAGACAAGGTTCTTGGAGGGAAAAACTTAGTTAAAAGAAGTCTCTGGCTTCCTCTAATATTAAAATATCTAACAAAGGAGAAGAAAAACAAGAGCCTCTTGGGCAAAAAGAAACTGTGGCATTGCCAAAAATCCAGCTACTCATTATAAGCACATGTTGCTGATTTACTACAGGCCAGGACTCTTCCTCTACCCTGTCTAAATGAACTGTCCTCAGTATCTCCATCTCATTCTCTGCTCCCTTCTTACACAGAACTCTGATACATCCACCCACCAGCAAGCTACCAGCAGCAATGACACAGCTCAGGTCCAGTCTCTGTCATCAGGGAAACCCATCTGCCATCTTCTCATTAACATAACGAACACCAAGGCCATATTGGTGTAAAACAGACATTTGAGAGGGCTAGAAAGGAATTGTCGGGAAATATAATTACAGAAAAGCTTGTAAGTCCGTCTTCAGTCTTTAACTGATTAGAAGAACTAAAAGGGTACTAGAATTTGTCCAGTGAAATAGGCTTCTTGTTAAGCCTTTGAAGAGTGTGGGGCCTTAAGTGGAATCCTGAGCCCCATCCAGAACCTTCTGAGGTGGTACATTCCCACTTGAAAGACCAAACTAGAGCGGCTAGAAGAACAGAAGCTATCTCTTGAAAGAAAAACCACCAAGAAAAAAATAAAAAGCTAACTGTCTGGCTGTTACAAAATAAGCAAACTGTTTGCCTGGGAGCTATCAAGACAAGACAAGTCAGTCCATCAGGATAAAGCCCCTTCCAAGACTGAAACTCAAGGGGAACACACGAACAGACTTGTAAGCTCACGGTAACCACCTTGGTTTATTTGTGAGTAGAAGTGAGAGAAAGGCGGCAATGAAGACATAAGCTAAGTTCGACCATGTTCCACAGATACCCGTCAACCTTGAGATGTGAAAGAGAAGAAGAGGTGGTTGGTCTGAAGTGTAGGGAGACTTGGGAACTCCTAAGCCCATGGACACTGACCTAGCCGCTGGGGGCTAGAGCTTAGAGTGATTCAGCCAGCTGATCAGAAGTGATCTGAAGAACACCAGATAGTTCTCATTTGACCTAGTCTGGATGGCTAGCTGATCAGAACTCAACTGAAGGAAGATAAAGAAGTTTGATACAAGAAGGAAATGGATATTGCTACGATTTGATGAACTTGACGGCTGCTTATGGATGTGGTTGCTCAAAATTCCAACCAAGAGGGAAGGAATCTTCACATCATGGATCAAGTCCATCCCTTCAGTACAAAGGGTTGATAAGGATGGGCAACTTAAACATTGGCTACCAAAAATGGTCTATAAAGGCACAAAGTAACTGGCTTACAAGTTTTCAATTTGTGCTCAGTTTCAGAATGAAGGGGGTAAGGTGGAATCCCCACTGAATAATTTTCATCTTGTCTAGGTGGATTTGGTGAAAAGGGATGGGGGAGGATAGGGATAGGATTTTTTTGATTCAATAGTGAGTAACTGTTACCATGACTAATTGCAATTGTCACAACTATAAAGGTAGAAGATGTGAAACAAAAAGGGGGGAGAAGTGAATCTTTCATTCCAGGATCAGAAGACCCTAGGACCTTCAGGAGGAAAGAGCATGAGTGGAGCATGGGATCCTAAGCAGAGAAATAGCGACACCAGAGTCGGAAGCAGAGGTGATGGCACAGAGAGATAGAGCAACTAAGGACTCTAGACCCATGAAATGTGAAAAGCTGTGTGCCAGTGGGCATGAGGCTGGCTTTCAAAATATGTCCTTTGGTCATTTAAATGAATATATATATTTTTTCTTTGTTTTGTGTATATATATATATATATATAAAACAGAGGTAAATACTGTTAACCGATGGTGCATGAAGGAGATTGCAATCATTGCAATGAAACAAAATATGATTGGTTGAATGCAAAACTGATGATCTGCCCTGTAAACTATCACTCAATTCACAATAAAAGCTCTAATAACAAAGAGAACAAAAACCAAGGCCTGCTCACCACACTCCTCCCCAAATCTCCATGACCTATTGTTATCCCACATTCACTATCAGAGAGAGCTCAGTTTCATCAGCTACACTGACTTCAGAAAGCATTTTGCTATGTGACCTCTCTCTAAGACTTACCTCAGGATGTCCCCTTTGTTGAGATTGAGCAGCACGTTATAGCCCTGGAACTCTGCCTCACCAATACAGGAAATGCTTTTGTTCCTCAGGTCTTGGTACATCTCCTTCAAACTCTGGAGGCATTTGGTCATGTTCTCATTGTTGATCTTGGCATCGAAGGAGGACATGGGCTCCTCACACATGAAGTGAGCACAATGGATGTGGAATCTCATACATTTCTCAATCAGGGACACCGTCAGGGGGTCACATAGGTGCTGCTGCGTGATGTCCTACCCACGAGTAAAAAGGCAAGGTTACATATGCACGCACACCTCACACATACCTTGCATGCACAGGCACCTCATATGTACATACATTCTTTGTATGCACATGCAGACACTTCACACATGAACACATGTGCATCTCATGCATGCACATACATACCTCTTTCATGTACAATTCACAAACATTAATACCTGATGTGTGTATAAACATCTCATATGCATATGTTGTTGTTGTTATGTGCCGTGGAGTCAGTTCCAACTCACAGTGACCCTGTACAGGGTTTCCAAGGCTGTAAATCTTCATGGGAGCAGAAAGCCTAATCTTTCTCCTGCAGAACAGCTGGTAGCTTCAAACTGCTGACTGTGCGGTTTGCAGCCCAATTCATAACCACTACACTACCAGAGCTCCTTACATACCTCATATACACCCTTCATTCACACACATAAATTGCACCTCATTTGCATGCATATACACATGCATGTACACACACACACACACACACTTTATACACACATATATATACACATGTTCCATGCACAGAGAGTTCAAATCATGGCTTATTACCAGAATTCCTCACAATTTAATTTGAAGGAAAGCACAGTTTCATATAACCTGGCAATGATTTTAAACCACACGAATTTTTGTTACATATGAAACATATCACTGTTTTGCCATCAATCCAATTCTGACTCCCGGTGGCCCCATGTTTGTCAGAGTAGAACTGCTCCACAAGGTTTTCAACAATTGAAATAGCCAGGTTTGTTTTCTGAGGCACCTCTGGGTGGATTCGAACTGTCAACTTTCAGCTAGTAGTCAAGCACTTGGATGTATGAGCTACCCAGGGACAACTCATATGAAACACCACTGAATAAAATGAAAAGAACTATCAATTTTGGTTTGGAATCTGAGTATGTCCCAGTGTCTCCTGACCTTCCGAATGCCCCGTGTCCGGTTCCACACGAAGTCGTACCAGTCGCGCAGGCTGCCCTCCTTCTGGTCCATGATCTGGGTCACCAAGTAGTCCATGGTCCTGCTGAGCACTGCTGAGGGCCGCAGCTCATGCGGCAGGGGCTCCTCCTGATCGGCTGAGGACCGACTGTACTCCTTCACAGCTGCCGCATGGTCCACCTGAGGGATCAGGACAGAAACACAGCTACTAGCATAGATGGGCCTCGCCAGCATCTAGCACAGCCATTCATCACTTGGTCAAAATATTTTTGCCAGCTGCCACAGCCTACACCAACCTTAATACACCTAAGAGTACTATCAACTTCAGCAACAGACACTACAGCTTCCTCAAACTGATATGCAGTGGTTCACATACCAGACAATGCACCACACTCCTGCAAGAGCTGCCTGTGTGAACTAGAGACAGGAGTGTGAGAGCGGGCGGCAAACAGAGACACAGGGCTTCACAATGACAGCCCTAACGACACAAACAATCAATATTCGAGAATCTTTTCAAGGTATTCCTGTATTTCAAAATGCAGAGACAAAAATAAAACAAAAAATATTGCTGGCAAATAGAACAAGGAATTCAGATGAAGAGGTGATCAAGTCAAGATAGCAGAGAAGTACAGGTTAGACCAGCTGCATGGCCCTGAAGTGCAGAGCATGATAGATACAGGACTTCTGGATGCTCTACATCTCAGCCACACTCCAATCCCACAATATGTCTTCACAGGCCCAAGTCATACTGGAGACAAGTAGGAGTATAGCAGGGGCCTACAAGGAATAGGCCAGCTGCTCAAGAGAGGCCTGGAGACCAAAGCTGCCCTGCACAAAGAGGCTGAAGATGGCTGGCTTCCTAAAACACGTAAACACCTAACTCAGGTGCAAACACAGACAGCCCAGGCAGAGAATACGCCTGCTCCCTCCTTCATGCTAGATAGACCCCAGCCTAGCTATGTACACCCTGGACAACAGACTGGAGAGGACTGGGTAGATGTGGAGCCCCACCTGGTCTGTCCCAGGGATCACTTCAAACACGCTCAGCTGGCTCCTGGTCTCCCGCATGTACCGCTCTTTCTCAGGACACATGTCTGGGCATGTCCCAACGAAAGTCCTCGCTTTGTCCAGGTCGGTCCTCCTCACTCGAGCTAGATGGAATCAAGGCAAAATTAAGCATTACCACATAGTCACTGGGACCCAGCTTAAGTGCATTTTCATGATAAAAGAAAAAATAAAGCTAAAATCACACAGGGTAAGAAAGAAGAATTTCAACAATGGCCTTAGAGTAACAGAAGAACAACCCATCACATGAATGATGGGGTACCAGGCTCACAGAGGCCCCAGAGACTCCCCTATTCCCAAGTATGGTTCTCCAACAGCCCCGGGTCTTCAGGGTTGACTCCAGACAAAGAGGGGGTGTCTACTTACAGCTGGGAGCACCACTCTTTTGTAAATTTACAATGACTTCAATGATGCTGAAGTATACCATTTATTAAAGGGTTTAATTTGTTAGAAGTATTCAACATACACTAGCATTTCTAAAACTCTACTTCAGTATTGCATCATTTGGTTGCATGGCAACCAAATCTGCTATCCATGGTATTTTGACTCAAAGCAAATAGCTCTGCCCTGGTCAAAAATGGCAACCAAATGCTACCATTTTGAATGTGTATTGCTCTCCACAGTTCCACCAATAATGTCGCTCTTCAAAAGTCCTGCAACACCTCTGATATGTTCAAATTAGTATATATTCCTGAGTGTTTCTGTGTACATCTCCCCTCCTCCACTCAAAAAAAAAGGAAAAGAAAAACAGAGGGAATGGAAGCAAATACTGTTGAATAATGATGGAGATTGTAATCACTGCAATAAAACGATGATGTAAAGCCGATGTTCTCCCATGTAAACTATCACTCAGTTCACAATAAAAGCTTTTTAAAAAAAAAAGTGAAGAATAACAAGGTAGCGGTAAACCACCACATAACATGGATTAACCTTGAGGAAATCATGCTGAGTGAAATTAGTCAGTCACAAAAAGAGAAATACTGCATAAGACGACTTCTGTAAAGGACTAAGAAAAAGAAACTATACTGAAAGGGGGCAGGGGGAGGTCTGTGTTGAGGGTTGGGAAGGTGGGGAAGGGGGGAAGGGGAGGGCAGAGCGGAGGGTGGGGATTGGACACAGGAGAGCTTGGGTGTGAGGGAGAGGGACAACAAAAAGGGAGGGAGAGGGAAAGGGGAAAAAACAGGGCAGCTGGGAGAACAAGTGGGCATGAGTGAAAGGGCCAAAGGGGCCAGATATAAAGCAAGATATATACACAACCTTGGAACGGCAGGACTCTGAGATACAGGGATTGAGTCATGTTTGGAATGGGGGAGAATCCTGTTAAGATGCTGGAATGTTTTCTTTTACTACGTGACTAACCAAGAGGCGAGAGTTTTAGTCTGTGTTACAGGTCATAAGCTCTCCAACATGGATTCCAGCCTGACTAATTCGACCGTATAGCGAGAGGACAGCCATTTCTCCCTCTTCGGAGCAAGCCTGCCTGAGGGAACCAGCATTCACCGAGGACCCATCTGAAACAATGACGTCATCCACATCTCCACTGAGGCCCCTCCGGCAAGAGCACCAAGGAGTCAGCCAGATGTTTCCACAGCAGAGAAGACTTTAAGAACTGTTTAACCCTTAGAGAACGGATTAAACTCCAGAGACTTTCTGCCGCTTTGCTTGTCCGGCGTGGGGAATGGGGAGTTAACAGATGTTACAGACTTTGAAATCGTTCATCAACCATCGTATGTTTTATTGCCTGTTAACACTCTCAGAAGCTAGGCAAAACATTGCGGTGCCTGGCCCTTAAACGTGCCACATGTCTTTGCTCTTAGGTCAATAATCACTGCACTAATAGGAATTGTTACCTTTTTTTGCCCTGCCCACCATGTAAATCAACTGTCTAGGGATATTAGTCTTGCTCACATGATCCAAGAGTAAATAGATAAAGGTTTACAATATGTCTAGAGAAAGGAAGATGGCTTAAGGGAAATAAGATTCAATATAACAAATTTACACTCTCAGCTAAGGTTATTCACTGTATAAGTAGATATGTGTTATTTTTTCAGTTAACCAGAACCTGATTGGAACTTAATTCAACAGCATTGTAGGTCGTTGTGGAACAATATACACTTGTCTGTGGATATTCATCAGCTACATGCTCAAATTTCTGATATAAGTAATTCTCAAGTTGAGAACTGAGTGGCTACTAATTTGCTACCTCGGCCAGAGATTAAGTTCCCCTGTGAACTTGGTTGAACCTCAGCATAGTGATACTGCTTGGTCGCCTTAGAGCAGGTGGTGGTCTGGCAACATCTTGCGTGTAGGGTCCCCAGCCGGTCTCCTTCCTCCCTGCCTTCTTCGGATGGCGGCTGTTTATGCTGGACGTGTGGCCAGAGACGGGCAAGGATCACGTGGAACCTCGGCAACCTAAGACAGAGCCATTGCCATGCTGCAATGAGTTTCGATGACAGGTAAGACTGAGGAATTCGCACTGACCGCCTAAGGCAGGCAGCGTCCTTTAAACAAATAATAAATAAGGGGGAAACTGATGCAGACCGTGCAGACCCAGTCAGGAGTTCAAGTCCCTGTGGGCCCAAGCGTTGCTGACCGTCCAAACCATAGGCTCTGAGGATCAGACTTTAGCCACCTAGCAGACATAGCAAAATGTCCCTTATCTGATTATTCAGTTATGCTGGTTAGTAATTCCATACATGAGCCCTGGATATCCACAGATAAATGTAAAAACCTTCCCTAAAAGCCGAGACTGTAAATTCCAAAAAGGCAAAGTTTTTCCCAAAAAAAAAGCTAAAGAGGATAGAGAGAAACTCTGTTAACTGATGGTATGTGGAGGGGATTATAATCAATGTAATGAAACAAGGTATATGAATGTTTGAATGTGAAACCGATGATGTGCCCTGAAAACTTGCGCTCAATCCACAAAAAAAACCTTAAAAAAAAAAAAAAAAAGTAGGAATAAAAATTTTAAAGACAAAACATAAAAAAGTCCTAAAAACAGTCCTTCCTCCTGAAAGTTTCAGGAGATTGATAAGGAAAAATGGATTATTGACAGGACTCTGGAGAGTAACACACATTCAAAGCAGAGCAGCAGTCTGCCGTCTGTGAGCAGGGTCCGGCTGCTTGTTTCCTAATTGCATCAAACTATCATGGGAAAAATATTCGAAGCATAGGCAGCCTTGTTTACCACAGCAATTACTGAACTGAACCACTGAACCAGTTGAAGTCCACATTATAATGTATAATGACAGGTTTTAGCGTTAATGAAGCAGCCGAAGTATTCAGATTCCGAGAATTTATAGTTTTGTTCGTCTTTAAAAAAGAAAATCCTACAGCTGAAATCTAAGAGGAAAAATCTTTGTGACGCAAGAACACCCACACTTGCAGATAATACCCGCTTGACCTGGCTTCAATGACTGGATGATCAGAGCTCAACCAGGAGAAGAAAGAAGAGGGAAAAAAAAGAGTAATCTGATACAATTTGATGAACTTGACGTACACCTATGGACGCAATAGCTCAAAAGAGGAAACAAATCTTCACAGCAAGGATCACTCTCACCCCTTCCACACACAGAGTAGACAGGGATGGGCAACTTGGACATTGGCTACCCCAAGTTGGGGGGCGGGGGGCAACAAAGGCAAGAAGTGACTGGCTTACAAGCTTTTAAGAGGGAACCTAGATTCAGAGGGTGGGAAGGAAGGTAGAATCTCCACTGAGTAGTACCCAATCTGTCTAGGCGGGGCTGATGAAATGAAATGCAGATAGGGCTCTTGTGATACAATAGTGACTAATTGTTATCAGGACTCAT